AAGCAGTCAAAAATTGGCTTTGAAAGTTTTTCGATTCAAAACCAAAATCCTACTACGAAAGAGGTCCGCAAATTGCCTGTAAAATGGGCAGAAGTCGTCAATAATAATGGAAATTATTTGGAATGAATTGATGGTTTTATGTTGAATAAATTTTAGTTCAAAGTCCCGCAGTTTTCAATTCACCAACCCAATAGTTAAAAGTAAAGCTTCTACGGAAAAGCTGCACCGACATTTACTATAATAGGTGCTAATTAGGTTCCTGTATATGCTAAGAAGTAGTTCTAACAAAAGTTTATGCTTTGTTTTCATAAATTCTTTACCTATACTTTGAATAGAAACTTTTGATTTATCTATCAATATCCTTTTAGCTTTTTGTTCTTATGTTTCAAGGCTCTCAGTCTTTTTGTACTTTATTGTACAAATTTCAAAATAACCAACCACTTTTATCTGTTTTCTGTATTTGATTTTGACGAAATGGACTCCTTGCACAATTTCAAATAACGAGGGCGAAATGTGGAAGGATTCAGATTGAACGATAACTATTATAGTTTTTTGAGTTCATAGTAGCAGCCAAACAAAACAACGTGCATTTCTAGAAACGTAAAATTATCTATTCTTGGCTTTCAAATGAATAAAAAGAAAGAAAAGAAAAAAAAACTTTTTCAACCTTATAAACAACGCCAAAAACCTTGTCGTCAACCCGATTGACGATGAAAATCTCGAATCGACTTGAAATTCCCATGTTGCATGAGGTTTAATTGGACTGCTTTGGGAAACTTAAAAAAACCGAGATTTTAAAAGTTTGATGCCTATAATTGATCGATTAGACAGATCGTTGCGAAAAAAGTTCCCAATAAAAAACACTCAACTCAAAAACATTTCGTCGAAGCATATGTCCGAGTTGATTCACAATCGAAGACGCTTAGAGTCGTTGTATTGCGTTGTCCTCGAATATCGAACAACTTCACGCGTCCCATCAACAATGTCGAACTCGAACAATCGAACTCGCACTCAACAACGTCGACTCGGACAAAAGAAGCTTCTTGAAGACAAGAAGACACTCGCCTGAGCAACGGTTGGATTTGTAGACGCGTGTGTCGGTTGGCGGTTTGCCCTCGGGTTCGGTTGAGAAGCATGTGGTGGCGGAGCAGGGAATGGTGCTCGTTGCTGTTGATGTGATTGCTGTTGTGCGATTACTCCTTGGCTTTGATTTTGTCTTTTGCATAGGGCAAGATGATCTCCTTTTTGCATGACCTCATTGCGACAAGCTCTACGAAAATTCCTCAAAGCCGGAACTGAAGCCGATAATTTCAGAACAGATTTTTTATGGTTGCCTCAAATTTTTGGGGAACGGCCGCGACGCGACCGCCGTCACCGAAACGAAGGAATTTCATAAGGCTAAGCGCCAAAACACCTACACATATCTTTTCTTCTTCAAATCATTGACAACTCTATTAAATTTATTACTAAACTTCGCTAAATTATGAAGGCAAAACTCGAATTCAAATCTCTTCCCAATGAACTAAAAAATTTGGTTGTTAATCAAGTGGATAATTCGAGTTGTGAGAAGCTTTTGAAAGTGAATCGAGATACCAGAAATCGATGTCTCGGACTTATCCCTTTTCTTCAAAAAATCGACCGCATTTCTATAGCGGTGAGTTGCTGGAAATCGGAAAACGAAGAAATACTGTGCAACACATTGGGCATCGAGATTTACAAAGATAAGGATGACATGGGATTAAAGTTCAACAATCAAACCGGTCAAGTTCCCCGATACACTTTGGGAGCGGTGATCGGAAACGAGAATCAGAAACTCTTTCAAAAGATCAAAGCCAGCAAAACAGTGTTCATTCGAGTGAATAGCAGCTTTCACGAGGACGACGTGGAATTCGATGAGGACGGACCGAGAATCGAGTTCCTAAAGTTTTTGCCAAGAAACTGGCACACCTTTGAGTTCACTCTTATACCTGTGAAATTTGATGTGATTCGGCAAGTATTTGAGCACACAAAGCCCACGATTGAGTGTAAATTAGGACTAAACACTGAACGGGATTTGGGATCACTGAAAGACGAGGAAAGAGAGTACCTAAAATCTCTGATGTCACACCGATTCCCAAACACGATCTCTTTTTATTCAGGGTATCCGCTGAAAGAAATGCACGAGATTTTGAAACTCACCAATGTGCAACTCTACGAAACTTGTGAGGAACGGTGGGAGAATTTGGAGAAAACTGTCAGATTGATTTTGAATAAAGGATTGCCAAGTCAAAACGAGGAAATGATACTCACAGTCACTCACTTGATTTTTCATCCAAATATAGAAACGGCCCAGCAAACGTTTGATGAACTTTTTGCTTTTTTGCAAGACAAGAACTTCAGCTGTACGTTGATTGAAGACAAAAATGAAGAAACAGAGCTGTTAAATGTTTTTGAAAAAAGGGAGGAGAATCTTTTTGGGAAGAGGATCTATTTGAATGGATCTTCAGCTCCACTTGGAGCTTTTGTAAGGCAAAGATTTTTTCGGCGAAGAATTTCCCCAGAAATGAACTGTTTTTACATGGCGGCCATCCAAGAGAACCACAATTTTGGCGGAGTTTTGCATGATGTTGTGTTTGGGGCAAAAATGGAGAGAATCTTTCCCCCTTCGAGTCAATAGTTTTGTGATAAACTGTTATTTTGTCTATTCAAATGTTCCATTAAAAGAAACGATACTCATTTATTCTCTTTAATATTCATTTAGCCCACTTTTCTAACCATAAGCTTTAATATTTTTGCCTAACAAGCGATCAAAATCGTCTTTAAAAGGCTGATAGTGAAAATGAATAAAGCCACTACTATGTATAGCTTTTTATCAAAGAAAACGCAAAATAAGTAAGACTTTGCTCCTTTATTTCTATGAAAACTGAAAGATTTCATGATGAAAACTATAAGAAATGGTTCTTCTTTGATACATTCTTTGCTTGGCCGATCGATGGGATGAGAAAAGCCTTATCTAACTTCAAATCATTGCTGTTCTTTGCGTTTTTGGCTTTTTTATAAATAAACTTTTATCCAATCGGTATTTTGATTTAAACAATTGAAAACTGTTTATTGAAACAATCACAATTCATTATTTTTTGCACACCGAATACAGAGCGATATCCGATCCGTCAAGAACGATGAGCTCCTTTTCCTACTAGAGTGCGTTCCTCGCAAGTAAGTAATTACTCGAGTAAATTTGCATGAGTAATTATCGAGTAATGCGTTTTCTAAAAAGTAAGCCTGCGCGAAAAAAATTTAAAAGCAATTTTTTGCGCAGGTTTTTCAAAAAATCCTGTTTTACATTGGACGGGAATTTTCCACCAAATCAGTTAATCAGCTGAGTATCTTTTAAAAGTGCCGTATATAATGCGGGGCTCATCATTTTTGCCTCATTTTTGCGGCATTTTTTGCAACAATTTTTGCTAAAAGTACGGTAATTTTTTCCCAAGTGTGCGTTTTAAAAAACGCATTACTCGCGAGGAACACACTCTATTTCCTACTATGAACAATCAAGCTCGCAATCCTTATCGTAATTCATCACCTGAAAAGAAGAAAATTATTACACTAAGACCAAAAGATTGGACAAAACTGATTTCTTAGATGGACCTTATGGAAAAAGTCTAACTAACCCGCGGCAAGGTACCCGTTGTTGGTCCACAGTTAGCTGTGGCTGGTGACAGATTGAAATCAACGGTCATCAATCAGAAATCATCAATCCACGAAAGAACACCTTTCGTCTGCAAATAGCTTGGGGTCTGTTTTATTTCAAAAATTACACACATTTTTCCCACCAGTGAAAAACAGTTCAGTCGCCGTAATTCGAGAAAATGTTGCACTAACTTTCACAGTGAAGACCTCAACTTAAAGGTGAGCAGAAAAAACTAGCTTAACTTAAGATGTCATTCTTGTATTGACTGTGAATGGAGGCAAGGTGGGCGCCGAGAGATTGACAATAGGTTTCGGCCTCGGAAACGACGAGATCGTAAACAACCTCAAACAAACAATTTTTCGGTCGGCCCGGTCCTAAAAAAGTTGACAGTCTAACAGTCTAATATTTGTAACTAAAGCCAGAAGATCAGTTTAAAAAGAAAACTTATTAAAACTGTTTAATGAATCTCACACGATTTTAAAATGATAAATTTTTCGAGCTCAAACCCAAGACTAGTTTAAGAGGCATTGGATTGGGAAAAAGTGTATGACAACAAAGAAATTTTTTGAATTTTCTGAAAAAAGCAGTGAAGTTCAAAGAATTTAAAGGTCAAAATATACCATCAAAAATTAGAAAAAAGAAATTTGTTTAGAATTTCTGAGTCAGAAGCTATTAAAAAAAGCTATTAAAAACAGGCAAATTCATTTACGATTCCAAAGATGAAAAGATGATAAGCTTCGTTTTTCACGCAGAAAACTTTCAAAAACCTTTCAAAAAAAAAAAACCTCGCTTTTGATTTCCGTTTTAATCTCTAGTTTTACTACAGTTCGTGTTCTTTTTGTTTAGTATTCAATATTGGATTTGGGTGACTAATAGTAAAGGAATAGCTGGGTGAGCTGGGTTGGACTTTAAACCGAATTACTCTAGGTGAACTTGAGGTCAAGCCAACCTACTCTATTCCAACTCAAACCTAATTCCACCTTTCTTTTCTCAGCCCTTTCTTGCCTAATTGCTCTGGAATTTTGTTTACAAATAGAAATTGGCACTCGGTAGACGAAATTTCAAAGCAATCGGCTACGACTGAGAAAACGAAGGTGGAATTAGGTTCGTCATGGGATTTTCCCATCTCCCTCTACACATTTCTAAATGTCATTTCATTTACCATTTTTGTCACTTGATTTACAAGTGATTTCATTTCAGGAACTCAATGGGAAACTATCAAACCTACAAAACAAAAAGCCATCTTCCCCCATCTTCACCAATCAATCCACCAAACCAAGAATACAAGGAATTTCACGAGTACATCAAGGAAAATCAACAAGAAAAGTTGATGCTCGATTTCTCGACAAAACTTGTCTATGATGTCTATTTGAGGAACCGATCAACTAGGCTCAACTTGTTCAAGCTAATCAGCGCCAAATTCAACTTTCGACAGGTAAACCCATGAAAATTGAGAATTGGCAAATAAGATTTTAGGACATGATGAGTGAAATATCGAAAGCTTTTGTCAAAAAGTATAATGGCGTTTGGACGTGTTTAGCAGGTTTGACAAGTTTTGCAAGCTTTGTGCTAATGCTTTTAGAACCTAAACTTTCAAATATTTATTGGGTTGGTAAAAAAGAAATGCGCGTTTTCGTTAAAAGTTTATTTTATTATAAAAACAAGATAACAATACATTAATCCAAAAGGTATTCGCCATCTGCATCAATGACTTGTCGCCAACGTTCACGCGGAGAATGGATGCCCTTCTTGAAGAACTCGACCGGCTGCGACTCGAAGAAGTTGGACACCCAAATTTGGACCTCGTCGCGGTTCTTGAACTTTTTCTCGGCCAAGGAGTGGTGCATTGATCGGAACAGATGGTAGTCGGAAGGCGCCAAGTCTGGGCTGTATGGCGGATGAGGCAGGACTTCCCAGCCCATTTCTTCAATTTTCTGCTGGGTGATTTTTGCGACATGCGGCCGAGCGTTGTCGTGGAGGAATTTTGTCGACGCCGTATCCACACCTTGACGTCGCAGCCCCTGATCCACGCAGTTCAATTGACCTTGGTAGAGGTTCGCCGTAACTGTTTGACCCGAATCCAGAACCTCAAAGTACACCAGGCCTTTACTGTTCCACCAAACACAAAGCATCACCTTTTTTCCGTGGATGTCCGGTTTTGGAGCTTCACCGGGGTCCAATCACTGCCGCTTTCTTGCTGTGTTGTCGTATTGGATCCACTTCTCATCCGACGTAACAATGGAGTCGAAAAACCCACTGTTCTTGGCTCGGTGAGTGAGAATTCCGGCGATTGCGATGCGTGTCGCCTTGTTTGCGTCGGATAGCTTATGCGGTACCCATTTTCCGCATCTATTCGTCTTGCCCATGGCATGCAGATGGTTCTCAATGATGACATGAGTGCAGCCGAACTGTTCTGCCAGGTCGCGAGTGGTTTGGCCTGGATCCGACTTAATGGCTTCCTTCAATGCGTCGTTGTCGATGATTTGAGGTCGACTCCCGTGTTTTTGGTCTTCCAAGCTTTCGTCGCCGTCTCGGAAGCGCTGGAACCATCGTTTACACTGACTTTCGGATAGAGCATCTTCGTCAAACACTTGAGATAGAGCGCGATGAGCTTCAGCAGCTGATTTACCTTGCTTAAATTCATACCACAAGCAGGCCCGCAAGCGAAATTTTTGGTCCGACATTTTCTAAACACTCTTTCTTGTAGAAAAACAAAGTAAACATAAACAAATTATATCAAATGATGCGCAAGAACACGCTCTTTCCAATAGAATAAACTATTTTAAAAAATCTTTTACTGTGAATAAAATACAAATCAACAAACACATTTCTTTTTTACCAACCTAATATTTCAAAATGCCAACTTTTAATTTGTCTTTAGGTCCTAATCTCGTTTACGGGACATATCCGAGACCGCAAAACTTCATTCAATTCGACATTAAAGAGGACTTTGGATGCTTTTGCCGAATAATTATCTTTCAAAATGGTCAAGAAGTTCAGAAATTGTGAGAACTTGCCATAAACGGTTTATTTTCATTGTCAAAGCCAATAAAGACATTTTTTTAAAAACTTCTCAAGCAGGTAAACAATTAAAAAATCAAAAGTTGCAAAAAAAGTACTAGTTTTTGAAGAAATAAAGATTAGAAAAATTTCAAACAAAGATGTCAGATGTTAGATGTTAATCTAACAATTGGTTTTCTCTTTTCTCGCAATCCATACAAAGTTCACATAGTTTTTTGATGGCCAAACAAATCGGCAAAACAAAATCATGATTTGGTTGTAAACTTTTTGCAAGAAAAACTTCTCGAGTTGCATGGAAGGTGCTCTTTCTTTAGAAATAGCCGATTCGGGGTACCGTATTGAGATCACTGTCTCATGGTTATACTCTTGTGAACTTAGAAAGTTTGAGGAAATTCTATTAAAAGCAAGGATTTGAAAGAAGAATGGAAAGTAAAAATGAATGGAAAGGGATGGGTTTTTTTCTGTAATTATTTGTTTAAAAATTAGCAATTGGTGAACTCAAAAAATATTTCGCTTAATTTTTGACTAGTTTAAAAGGCATTGGATTGGGAAAAAGACATGACAACAAAGAAATTTTCTGAAAAAAGCAGTGAAGTTCAAAGCATTTAAAGGTCAAAATATACAAAATTGAAAAAAGAGATTTGTTTAGAATTTCTGAGTCAGAAGCTATTAAAAAAGCTAGTAAAAACAGGCAAATTCATTTACGATTCCAAACATGAAAAGATGATAAGCTTCTTAAAACCGTTTTTCATACAGAAAACTTTTGATCTTCAAAAATCTTGTATTTTTATAAGCTTTATCGCTTTTGATTTCCGTTTTAATCTCTAGTTTTACTACAGTTCGTGTTCTTTTTGTTTAGTATTCAATCTTGGATTTGGGTGACTAATAGTAAAGGAATAGCTGGGTGAGCTGGACTTTAAACCGAATTATTCTAGATGAACTTGAGGTCAAGCTAACCTACTCTATTCCAACTCAAACCTAATTCCACCTTTATTTTCTCAGCCCTTTCTTGCCTAATTGTTCTGGAATTTTGTTTACAAATAGAAATTGGCACTTGGTAGACAAAATTTCAGAGTAATCGGCTACGACTGAGAAAACGAAGGTGGAATTAGGTTCGTCATGGAATTTTCCCATTTCCCGCTACAAATTTCTAAATGTTATCTCATTTACCATTTTTGTCACTTGATTTACAAGTGATTTCATTTCAGGAACTCAATGGGAAACTATCAAACCTACAAAACAAAAAGCCATCTTCCCCCCTCTTCACCAATCAATCCACCAAACCAAGAATACAAGGAATTTCACAAGTACATCAAGGAAAATCGACAAAAAAAGTTGATGCTCGATTTCTCGACAAAACTTGTCCATGATGTCTATTTGAGGAACCGATCAACCAGGCTCAACTGGTTCAGGCGATTCAGCGTCGAATTCAAATTTCACGAACAGGTAAACCCATGAAAATTGAGATTTGGCAAATAAGATTTTAGGACATGATGAGTGAAATATCGAAAGCTTTTGTCAAAAAGTATAATGGCGTTTGGACGTGTTTAGCAGGTTTGACAAGTTTTGCAAGCTTTGTGCTAATGCTTTTAGAACCTAAACTTTTAGAACTTTTAGAATATTTGTTTAAAAATGCAAACTTTTAATTTGTCTTTAGGCCCTAAGATCGTTTACGGGAAGTATCCGAGACCGCAAAACTTCATTCAATTCGACATTAAAGAGGACTTTGGATGCTTTTGCCGAATAATTATCTTTCAAAATGGTCAAGAAGTTCAGAAATTGTGAAAAAACTTGCCATAAACGGTTTATTTTCATCGTCAAAGCCAATAAAGACATTTTTTAAAAAACTCCTGAAGCAAGTAGACAATTAAAAAATCAAGTGTTGAAAAAAAAGTATCAGTTTTTGAAGATATAGAGATTAAAAAAGATTTCAAACAAAATTTAGATGTTAATCTAACAATTGGTTTTCTCTTTTCTCGCAATCCACACAAAGTTCACATAGTTTTTTGATGGCCAAATAAATCGGCAAAACAAAATCATGATTTGGTTGTAAACTTTTTGCAAGAAAAACTTCTCGAGTTGCATGGAAGGTGCACTTCTTTAGAAAAAGCCGATTCGGGGTACCGTTTCGAGATCACTGTCTCATGGTTATACTCTTGTGAATTTAGGAAATTTTAGGAAAGTCGATGAAAAGCAAGGATTTGAAAGAAGAATGGAAAGTAAAAATGAATGGAAAACAAGGGATGGGTTTTTTCTGTAATTATTTATTTAAAAATTAGCAAGTGGTGAACTCCTCAATTGAAAGGTGGATTTCGGTAAATCGTTTTGGACTTTCAGATTTCCATTTGTTAATTCTTCTTGCCTTTTTATGACCACAAAGTCGTTCATTGGCATCACCGTTTCTTTTTCGATTTGATTCCATTTGCTCGAAAGCTGGTCTTCGATATTTTTGATAAGTAACGCAGTTGGGTCTTGCTAACTAAATTTTTTCTTGTTTAGAAAGCGAAGGGCTTCTTTTTCTTCGTCATTTTCTTCTACATCAATCAGTTTTTCCCAATCAGCAAAAACTGGTCGTTCAGTGAAATCGTGCTGAGCAAAACAGCGTGTTTTTTCGGCGTTTCTCGATTAAAAGATACCGGAAAACCCTTGCGCAACGAAAAATACGGACAAAATGTTATTGATTGCCGCCGGAAAAATCAGAAAAAAATTTACCCATATGAAATTGTACCATTTGTTTTACATTGTTAAAATGTTCACTCTTCTTTTCTTGGCATTTTGCCTGATCTGCCAAGTTTCCTCCAAACTTTACGACATTTCTTTTGACAACCAAACACCGAACAAATGGAAACTAGCCTACACAACGAACGATCCAAGTCGCGAATGGCTAAAGAATAACTTCACGAGTGAAATGATGCTTTGGTCTTACCAAGTCTCATATTTTCACTTTAAAATCGAATTCTACATTAATGGCTTCAAAGTGGGAAGTGCCTCGTCGAGTCAACGGTTCACGGTCGCCTTGCAGACTATCGATACATCGAGTGACACGAAAGAGGCTCTGGTTTTCAAGGTTGGTTCAAATGCTGTGGAAAGACGGTGAACTGAGGTGACTCCAAGTCTTCTAAAAAACGCAGCCATTGTTATGGTTGGTTATTAACTAAGAACTGGATCTGTATATACATCTGTAGGTTGTAAACTAAGTCTTGCACTTAAATTGAAAAAAAACATTTATTGACAACAAAGCAAGCAAGCATAATCTTCATTGTTTTCGATGATTTTCTTTCATTTTACAGCTTTCATGGGATCAGCCAGGTTGGCCCCATTGGCCAAAAATTGGTTTGAATTCAATAGAATGAAGATGTTTTTCAACTGCTACATGAGAAACCTTAACAAAATCAGCAATTTCACGCAAAGATTAGGGTTTTCGTGGAGTTTTTGAATAATTTCATCGTTTTTCAATTGGGATAGCTCCCAGACCATTCTTCATCTTCTAGCAAAAATTCGTTATTTTTGAACTGTGAAGCCATGCTATCTATTTTCTGATAAGGAAGCTGATAAGAGAGTATTTTAGGAAAAGCAAGAACATGAGACAATTTTTTTGAAATCATGAATAAACAATTTTTTTGAAATCATTTCAAGGATGCAAGGCTTAGTTTACAACCTAATAGCTATCAATCTGTTGTTTTTAGTGTTTCTAAGCTGTTTAACAAGCTGAGTAAGCTAATACAAATCTGATATGTGTAGCTGTTTATGTGGCTCAAATTTTCAGGTTGACCCCAATCCGTTCTCTTCTACGTGCACCGCAATCGGCAACGAGCTTCTCCAGGCGGCACCGCTCAACAAAACGACGATCACAAAGGTTATCCAATGTGGAACGAGGATTCTGTTGAAGCAGCAGGCTAGAACTGAAATGGATAAAGTTATCGATATCAATTCTATGGATGTGCCTGATGAGGTTTTGATAATCGTTTTCGGAATCTTAGTTTTTATGCTTTTCATTGTTTGTTGTTGTTGTTATTTTTGTTTGAAAGTTTCTGGTCAAGAGGAGAGTTCAAGGGCGGAAGACGTCGAACTCGTTGATCGTCGAAATATGTGGCCTCGAGGTGGCAGAAGGCTTGGCAGCAGATAGCTTCCTTCATCCTCAATAACATCTCAATTTTTAAAAGTTAAGCTGCTTAAGGTTTTAGAAAGAATGAAGCGCCAATTTTAAAATTATTATTATCTATTATTGAGCCGTTGAACATTGCCAAATAAACATCAAAAATGCCTTTTTTGTGGTTCTTTTTAATTTCTAAATTTGAGCAAGCAATTTTGAGCACTTCAAAAAAAGCAACTCCGAAAAGGAAAAAAGGTTTTTGCTTCAAATGATTTCTCCCAAAAAGAGATTGATAAGACGGCTGATTCATACATCAAAATTTTTGCTTTTTAAAAAAGCTTTGCTTTTAATTATTAACTTTCTTTAAAAGTTATTTAATTTAATACTCAATGACAACTTTTCCATCGAATCTTCAATTGAGGGACAGCGAACGAGAAGCGGAAGAGGTAAAGGCATACTTCGAATTCAAAACACGTATATTTTTAGTTCGCTTAAGCATTTCAAGTTAATTATACAACTCTTCAACAACTCTGTGATGCAACTTTTTACAGGGATGCTCGATCCAATCTCAATCCACACAAATCTCTTCACAAAGTGCAGAAGAAATCACTGAAACCACCGCTGGACCGTCCGTAGCTGGGAATCAATCCGTTCAGCCTTCTCTATCTCATCAAAGAATTACTACAGTAAGCTTTAAAGAACAAAAAACTAAGAATATTTACTTTTTTCTAAGTTATACAAGGACTTTCCTGATCTTGACCATAATTTTGATGACCTCTAGCTGATCGGGGTTTGGTTAGAAAGTTAAACTAAGCTCACTTAGTTGAAAAATCTCTAATGATATTGCACTTTTTTTTGCTGGCAACTGACTATAAGACGTATTTTTAGACGTTAGTTGTGCTGTAGAACCACAGCCAAAAAACTTGCCATTAATTTTCAGCCAATTCCTCCCGAAGCTTCCATAAACTCACCGCAGCCTCCTCAAGCTCTTTATCAAAGTAAAAAAAAAAACAGAAAAAATGAATTTCTTAAAAATTTTTAGGCCAAAAAGGATCTTGAGTTCTTTCAAAGCTACACGCCGACGAAACTTCTGTTGTGTGGAGGCTGCTTTGCGGTTTCTTTTATTTGTTTGTTTGTTGCCATTATTTTATTTAAAAGGCTCCAAAAAAAATAAACCTATAAAAAAGAAACATTGAATTCTTGCTTAACATTACAAAAAAGAAATTCCTCATCAAGTTTTTCTTTACAAAAAATCACGCCCCAAACTCCTCACGTCATGTTTCGTGAATTGCTGCATAGGCCCCAAATTATTCTCTTGAAAGAGGACATTTAGGGGAAAAGCTTTTTTCAGCGACCTTGCCTAGCATTAAAGACATTGTTTTAGCACTTCAACAGTTCCTCAATTCAAGATGATTTTTTTGATTGAAGTTCTCGTTTCGTTAACTTTTTACTGTCCATTGACTAGCCAAGAAAATCTTTGGCAAGCAAAGTCTCATACAAGGTACCTTGCAACAATCGTCTTTTTGTAATACGCATGTACGACCCCTATTTCTATATTTGGTACGATCGTTTACTCGCTCCAATTCTGTGAAACTGTTTTGTTATCTACTGCATATGCACAAAGAAGATCCCTGAAATGAGAGAGTACAAAGTGCATTTGCTGGGAATGTGAGGTGAATATGAACAAATGAACTTGACAAAAAAATCATGAACGGA